GCGGGCGGCCGCCCCTTCCTCGTCCAGCCCGGTCCAGGCCCCGGGCCGTCTGTGGGCGCGCGGGGCGAGGCCGAGCGCCAGGCCGGAGCCGCGGCGGGCAGCGGAGCAGCCCAGTGGGCCGCACCGTCTGAGTCGAGTCTTGGCTCTACCTCTCGTCCTCGGCCTCGGGCCCTCGTCGGTAAAACTGGGTGATGCTGAAGGGCGTTACAGGGCTGTCCGTGAGGAACCACCAAGACAAATTCGCAAGGGGCGCAGGAAGCTGTTATCTCCTTCGGGTCCGTTTAACCCCAAGTTTGGGGGCTAAAAGCTAGTATTTAGCTGGCATGAAATTGACAGTATTTAATGATTCAAGCCAACACGGACGTGTAAGTGAAGAATCTCTGTATTCGCCCGCATTTTCAAGCTGCAACAAGACCACCGGGAATACTAAGCCCCCCGGACTCCTCCGGTAGCTGGGACCCAGCCCGGCCCCAGCCCCGCGACACGGGCGCCCACTCCGCTCGCCTTAACCTGCCCCGCAAGCCGCGCCCCACGTCGCCGCCGCCCCTCCTTCCGGCCTCACCCCTGCTCCTGCCCGCCCCGGACCCCGCGACCCCGCGACCCCGGCCGCCGGGACCGAGCCCGCCCTGGCCCCGCGCGCCACTCTGCGCAGGCGCAGAACGGGCCTGCCCCGCCCCGCCCACCCGATGCATATGCAAAGAAGGCGACCCGGCGCCGTCCGGGCGCACGGGCGGGCAGGGAATGGGGCGGGGCCAGCCGGCGTCGGTCCGTGGGAGAGGCGGCCCGGGGCCGTGGCAAGGGGCGTGGCCAGGGCGGAGCCGGGCCAGGAGGCGGGCGACTGGTCTACCTGAGGCGGAGAGGGGCGGCGGACAGGGGGCCTGCAGCGGGGAGCCGGCGTGGACCGCGGCCATGAGCACCGTGGACCTTGCCCGCGTGGGCGCGTGTGTCCTGAAGCATGCGCTGACCGGGGAGGTGAGGCCGGACGGCGTCCTGGCAGCGGCATCAGGGGCCGGCGTGGGGGTCGTGAAAGCCGTGGGAGGCTCAGGCTGCGCGTGCGGCGGGGCTAGGGGCGCGGGCGGTGGTCGGGCGGTGCGGGGCCCCGGGCGCGCGGCGGGGCTGGGGGCCAGGGCGGTGGGCCCATGTCACCCCTCACCCTCCACTGCTCAGGCCGTGGAGCTGCGGAGCCTGTGGCAGGAGCAGGCGTGCGTGGTGGCCGGCCTTCCGGCGCTTCGGCTGCATGGTGTGTCGCTGGATCGCCCGGGACCTCAGCAGCCTCAAGGGGCTCCTGGACCAGCACGGAGTGCGCCTAGTGGGCGTGGGGCCAGAGGCCCTGGGCCTGCAAGAGTTCCTGGACGGTGGCTACTTCGCGGGAGGTGCCTGCCCTCCCTGCTCCTCTTCCCCGGCAGCTGCCCTGAGGCCCTTCCCCAACCTCAGGGCATTGGCTGTCCCCGTTTTGTCGAGTCCTGATCCTCCTCTCTCCAGGAGCTGCCTGCAGATGCCCCTGTGTCAGCTCCTCTCATCTCTCCTGCCCCCTCCAGCTGGGGCCCAAACCCTCACCCACAGCCATGATGTGCCTCCCACTGTGGACAGATGGGCAGTGTGGCAGGGCCCGGTGGTGACTAGTCTGGTGTCAAATCAGGACCAAGCGTCTTTACTGGGTCAGCTGCAGGGCCACTCCCCACCACGGCCTTTGGTCACTGTAGATGAGACTCTGAACTTCATCAGCTGCGCCCTCCCCTAGCAGGAGTAGCTGGGACCAGAGCCCAGGCTGTGGCAGCGCCTCCTCTACCCCATTGGGACCCCTCCGCCAGCGCCCAGGATGTGCCCCCCAGACCCCTGGGCCCAGTGGCAGAATCCAGGAGAGTCCTGCTCTTCCCTTTTCAGGTCACCTCTGGGCCTCAGCTCCTCTAATGGTGGGGTCAGCCCGCCCTGCTCTGCCCCTCCGGGCCCTGGCTGGGTGAGCTGGGCACCAAGGGTGGACAAAGGGCTGCATACAGGAGGGTGAGCAGGGCAGTGGCGGACCCAGGGCACACCTTTGGCCTCTGCTTTTCAGAGCTGTACCTGGATGAGAGCAAACAGTTCTACAAGGAGCTGGGCTTTAAGCGGTGGGTACGGGGTCCACGGCTCCTCTATTCCTCTTGTCCTTGCTGCACTCTCCCTGGGCAAGCTGCTTCAGGTGGCATCCACCACTCCCGCCAGCCCTTCGACAGGGTTCTCTCTTGGCTGCTGTCGGTTAGGCTTCTCACCCAGGACCTAACCCCAACAGGCAGCAGTGCCCAGCCCACCCAGGGGGCTGAGAGCCTGGCATGTCAGTCAGGGGCCTTCCCAGCCACCGTGGGTGCCTGTGCCACAGGCTGGCTGCCTCGCCTGATTGGCAGCACCAGCTGAGCCAGATCCTGGGGCTCAGCCAGCTTGGGCCCCAGTCCACGCAGGCCCAACCGGCCCCCAGGCTGAATGCCCCGAGGCTCCGGCAGCTGCTCCTGGCTGGACAGGGTGCGTCCACGGGTCAGGCTAGGCTGCTTGCTGGGCCGGCTGCCCTGTGCCCTATCTGAGCTCCTGGTAAGATGGAGGGGGTTCCTGCTTGTGGGAAGTGGTCTGTGCATCTTGTGGAGACTGGGGGCAGGTGCTGGGAGTCTGGACAAACCAGGTGTGTCTTTGCAGGTACACCAGTTTGAGCATCCTGCCGGCTGCCCTGGGGAAGCCCGTGTGTGATGTGGCCGCCAAGGTTTGTGGTGGCCAAGGTCGTGTGGGCCTCAGGGTGGCATGAGTCCCCTGGGGGTGTCCATCTAGGGCTGACCCGGACCCGTTCCCCTCCCTCCAGGCCAAGGCTGTCGGCATCCAAGGGAACCTGTCTGGAGACCTGCTGCAGAGTGGAGGGCTGCTGGTGGTCACCAAAGGTGGGCCGGCGGAGGGGCACCAGGGGCCAATGCCTGGTCACATGGGGTGCCAGGGCCACATCCTCAGGTGGGAAGGTCTTGCTGAACTTGGTGACCATGCCCTGACCCTTCCTCCCTCCCTCTGGCTTGTCAGTCTCATCGTGGTTCCTCCTCTGGTCTGGCCTGGCTCTGAGTGTCGGCCTGGCTGGGTAGGGTGTAGCCAGATCGGTTCACTCAGCTGGGTAACTGGGAGAGGTCGTGGCTGGCTAGGGCTGCCTCTCTCCTTCCAGCACACAGGGGCACCCTGACTGCTTCCCCACTGCTGCAGGTGGTGACAAAGTGCTGCTCCACTTTGTCCAGAAGTCCCCAGGCGACTATGTTCCCCAGGAGAGCATCCTGCAGGCCCTGGGCATCTCTGCGGAGGTCTGCGCCAGCGCGCCACCCCAGGTGAGCTCAGGCTTGGGGTGGCACTGCAGGCTAAGCATGCCCCCCTGCCCAGCTCCCCTGGGCTGAGGGCTTGGTGTGGCCAGATGCTGAGCTGGACCTTGCCAATTTTAGGTCACTTTGTGCTCACCGAAGCCACAGGATGTCACTGTCACCCCATTTTGCAGAGGGGAAATAGAGCAGGGAAGGGCCAAGAGCAGGGTGGCCCAATGGGCAGGCACAGCAGGGCCCTCCCCAGAGGGCGGTGGACAGCCCGGGGGCTGCAGGGTAGAGGAGCAGCTCATCCTCTCATCCTCGGGAGGGTCGGGGTTTGTCCGAGGTGACTGTGGCCAGTGTTAATGTGGTCCTGGTGGCTGACTTCCTCTGCCCTCAATGGAGGGGAGCGTCCAGCACATTCCTTCCTCTGCTTGGGCCACAGACTGCCGGTGGGTGGGCCCAGCTGCTCTTGGCCCCGGGGAGTGTGGCTGGCCTGATGGGTCCCTGCTGCCTCTGCAGTGTGACGAGGAGGCGTGCACCAGGTGAAGGCCCCAGACCTCCAAGGATCGGAGAGACGTCTGCTGCCCAGGGCTTGCTGGGAGTCAGATGTGAAGACTCGTTCTGGAATCTCTGGGCCGGGATGCCGAATTCTGCCTGGCCGAGGGTGGCAGTGAGCATTAAACGTTGGTTTCCGGCAGCCCTGGCCTCCACTGCTCTTGGTTTCCTCCGGGCTGGCGGGGCAGTTGCGGGTCCCAAGGCATCATCTTCCCGACTAGGAGAACCGCTCTTCCTTGGGTGAGGGGATGCGCCCCTGCAGCCTTTCTGGCACGTGAGGGCCAGGGGTCTGAGGACAGGCCCAGGGGCAGGACAGGACGATGGGGTTGGGCTCTGGGGTCAGGAAACTCCTCAGGCCCCAGACAGGAGCCCAGCCCGGAGGGGCTGGGGTCAGTGCTCACGTCCGGTGGGAGCGACTTGGGTGTCCAGGGAGGAGATGGTTTCGATTCCACACACTGGATTCTGGTGGACAGTCACAGACTTTTAGGGAAGGCCTAGTCTGCTGGGTGGACCTTCGCTGATGTGAGAATCGCCATTTGCACCCTGCTGGGCCCAGCTGGTATGTCCAGCTCCCCCGACACCTTCCTTCAGGAGGGAAACAGGCCCCTCGAGCCTAACCGGCTCCAGAGCAGAACTCCCGCCCCTACCGGCTCCCAGAGGCTCTCTCCTCCCAGTGGGTTCAGAAGACCTTCTCAGCACCTCCCTGTACCCCTGGTCCCGGCCTGGATGACCACAGTGGCCTCCTAGCTGACCTCTCTGCTCCCCCCCACCCCCCCGCCTGCCCTACTTCTTCTCTCATTGGTCATTTAAAAACTCAGGGCAGGTGATGATGTCCCTTTGTGGTTTAACCCCTCCGCTGGCTTCCAGTTACACAAAACCCCAAATCCAGATTCTGTGCTGAGGCTTCCAGGGTCTCCTCCACCCACCTCCCCGCCAGTTCCCTCCTGAGTCAGTAGCCCCCTACCCCTGTCTGAACTTGTGGTCCCCGAGGGCTGGCATTTGAAGGCATCCTGGTCACTGCTGTGTCCCTGGCACAGGCACCCTGGGGAGAGCCAGATGCAGTCGGTGGACAGAGGTGGACTCACCCTCTGGGGCACTGCCACCCTGACCGCCCACCCTGGGCCCTCCTGGACACACAAGGCAGCCGACTTCTTTGAAACGTTTACTTAGCTCAAGACTGAAGCTCGTGGACGTCTGACGAGGGCGCGCTTTGGAGAGCGGGCGGAAGACAGTCAAACGCGTCTACAAGGCTGCGATGGGGCGGCGCTGCCCCGGCGGGCGGGCGTGGCGGGGGCGCCGGCCGGGCCTGCTCGCCCCGTCTCCGTGTCCGGGCGCTGGCGGCCCAGGCCGCAGAGCGCACGCCGGTCCCCGCCGCTGCACCGTCTGGGCGCAGACCGGACGCCTCCGGACGGCGGCGGGGCGTGGACCGCGCAGCGCGGCTCGGCCTTGGCTACCAGACGCGGCATCGCTGCTGGGGGTGCATGGGGGTGCCCCGGGCGCAGTGGAACGCGTCCGCGAAGGCGGCCAGGTTCTGCAGCGAGCCCAGCACCCTGCGGGCGGACGGAGGGGCCTGAGACAGCGCCGGCCAGGGCCGGGGCGGGGGGCGGGGGGCGGGGGCGCGGGGATCACTTGCCTGTACTTCAGGGGACTGTGGACGTCAGTTTTGATGGACTGCAAGGCGAACTCGGGCCGGTAGGACCCGCACCACACCTGTGGGCGCACGAGGGGCGTGGCTGCAGGGCTGGGGGGCGGGGCGGGCCTGGGGTGGCGGGAGGGACAGTGTGGTGGTCTCTCCAGGCACAAAGGAGTCCCTCTGGTCCCAGGCTGCTCTTTCTGATGCGGCGGAGGGAAGCCAGCAGGTTCCCGCCCTTCCTCTACAGCCTCATATGAATCCTCAGCCCCAACCCCCAGTCCTTCCTTTTCCTCCGGGAAGCCTTTGAGGCCTGTTCTGGTTCTGGCTGGCTTGCCTGCCCACGGTGCCCCTGGAGGCAGCCCATAGTGGGGGCCCTCCAAAGATGTGAGTGGGGAGCTGGTTTCCAGTCTGCGAGGCGTGGCATGGTGGGGGGGGGGGGCAGGTCGCTCGGGGACTATGGCTCCTACCTGGGCGTAGTTGATGAAGAACAGCTGGTCGTAGGTCAGATCCAGTCCTGGCAGCTGCTGATCCTTGCCGCCCTCTGCTTTCCACTTTAGGTATGCCTGCGGGCACCAAACGGGTGCTGGGCCCAGGCCTGCCCTCCCTCCAGGGGACAGCACCAGCCTGGCCAGGACTGCGGAGTCCTCGGATCTGGGCAGAATGGAGGTCTGGTGCCAGGCTACCCCAGTGGGGGTCCTGCCTCTGCAGCTTAGGGGCCTGTGAGCGCCCCCAGGGACGGGCACTCACCACCTTAATTACTCAGTGGCCATGTGACCGCCTGCCCTGGCTGGGCACTCCGGGGACTCCCTGCCCGGGCAGCCTGCCACACGGTGCCCACCTAGAATGAGTCCTGGTGCCCAATACCTGAGGCTGCAGGTGCAGGGGTGTTGCTGAGGCCAGCAGACGTGCAGTGACTGTCACTGTCTTACTTGGAGATGGACAGTGACCTCCCCAGGGTGCGGAGGCCCCGGCTAAGGTTGGGTAGATGCTGGCAGAGCAGCCATGGTGCCCATGCACACGGCCAGTCAGCCTCCCCCGGGGCACCACTGCCTCCCCATGCAGACAGAGAAGGGTCCCGGGATGTGCCTCGGCTCCGGCAGGGGCAGCCTCTGCCACACCGAGGGTCCGTCCCCCACCTCCTCGAGGGGCCCACCTTGTATGCCTGCCGCAACCCTCCATTGTCAGCGATGTTCTCCCCGAGCGTGCTGAACCCATTCACCTGCACACAGGAGACAGGATGGCCCAGCAGCGGGGGCCCTGGCTCCTCTCCTCCCCTCCCCCGGGCCAGACTGGAGTGCGGTCGGTGGGGGCAGACGGCCCAACCGCGCTGCTGGCGGCGGGCTCACATTTTGCTGGTCGGCCAGGTCCCAGGAGTAGTTCCCGTACTGGTAGATCATGCACTCGGACTGCTCCCGGAAGTGCTCAGCTGAGAAGTTGCTCCACCAGTCCAGCATGTTGCCGTTCTTGTCGAAGTTCCGGCCTGGGCAGGGGGCAGAGGCTGGCTCTCTCCTGCACGCCGCCCCCCACCCACCCCCAGGTGTCCTCCTGGGAACCCCCGTATCTAGAGCTCATGTTTCTGAGCAGCGAATGGGTCCTGAAGGGCCTCAGCCTGCTCGCAGGAGTCGGCACCGGGTGACGGGGCTGCTGAGGCCCCTGGAGAGGGAGGGCTTTAGTGGTCTTCCTTTCCACCCCAGAGGTTAGGGCCTGGGGTCTGGGTCCCAGAGGCACCACGGTTTAATGACCCTTCCTGATGTCCACACTCTCTAAACCCCAGGTGAGGGGAGCATATGACCTGGAGACCAGTTTGCCCTCGGGAGGTCCCGATGCCTGAGCCCTGTGGGAAAACCCCCTCCTGGGATGCAGCCGGAGCCCCTGTGCACGTCACAGGCCGCTAGAACCAGGCAGGGTGGCCCTGCCCAGTGGTGGGAGGTCGGAGTGTTGGGTCACCACGTCCCTGGACTGGAGGATGCTGGCTGCTCTGGAATGACACTGGGCCAAGCTCTGTGCCAGGCCAGGGCCAGGAGCTTCCCAGGTGTGCTGGGCAGTGCCACTGTTCCCATTTCATAGACCCAGCTCGGGGGTGGCCAGTTAGTGAGATGAGTCAGGATCAGGTGCTCGGGCCCTTGTGCCCTCCCCTCCATCCCTCTGCCTGGAGCAGGAGCGCTGGACAGGGACTGAGCCTGCCATTCAAGACCTGCTCTGCCACCCTAGCTCCCTGGGGACCTGGCAAGTCCTTTCCATGCCCTGGGTCTTGGTGTCCCCACAAACAATGAGGGGGTTTGATGGACAGCCCCAGGGCCCCTTTCTGGAGGTCCGACTTGGCCCTCAGTCCCCTTTTGGGGCTGCTGCTCAGTGGAGGGGTGTGTTTGTGACTGGAGGTGCAGCTCTGACTGCCCAGGCAGCCCCCCTACCATTGTCGTCAAAGCCGTGGGTGATCTCGTGCCCAATCACCATCCCGATGCCCCCGAAGTTCAAGGCCTGCGGCTGCTCCTTGCTGAAGAAGGGGGGCTGGAGGATCCCAGCAGGGAACACTGCCCGGGGGTGGGGGGCAGAGAATAAGCTGTGAGTGAGCAGATCTGTGTGCCAGGGCCTCTGGGGGTCCTGCCATTTAACCCACAGCCTGGGAGGTTGAGGGGATGACATGCGCCCCACTTTACAGATGAGAAAACTGAGGTTGAGAAGCCCAGAGGGCAGGGCCAGTGAGTGGCAGAGCCGGGACTCAAGCCCACCATTCTCTGCTGCCTTCGGGCAAAGGGTCTGGCTGCCCCCGCCCTCTAGACCTCTGCCCTGCTCACACACACACCCTCACACACACACACAGGAGCGAAGATTCCCTGCAGGGGAGTGACGGGGTGAAGTTCCTACAGGCGGGAGAGGTGGTACCCACTCCCCTTCTGAGCACAGGACAGGGGCCCAGGAGGAAGGGGAGGGGGGCCGCTCCTTGCCCACTCTCCTCTGGCACTGGAGGGGTTGGGGTGGGCGGGGAGGGGTGAACATACCAATCTGGTTCCGGTTTGGGGAGTAGAACGCATTAACCACAGCGGCCCCTATGATCCAGCTGTGATAAACAAGCCACTCACTTGGAGCCCGAGTCTCCTGGGGCCCTCCCTCCTGACCAGCTGAGCAGAGCCCACCATGAGCTTCATGCTGCAGCTGTGGGACCAGCGTGGCTGACAGCCAGGCAGAGTCCTGGCCAGTCCAAAGATCTGGCTCCTTTCCGGGGCCCCCGCAAGCAGAGGGCACAGAGGGCTCTGTGTCAGACCCAGCTGCCCTCCCCTGCTGGCCTGGCACCCAGCCCACTGGCCCCCACGCGCCGTGCCACTCACAGGTTCTGGTCCACCTTCTCCCGCAACTTCTTGATGCTCCGATGGGCGCTGGCCTTGAGGTTCTGCAGACCGTTCTCAAAGTACAGGTCCTCTGAGAAGTGCAGCTACAGGAGAGGGGCGGTCAGTGCCGGGCACGCAGGTGGGGTCCGCCAGGGGCCTGGGGCAGGTGGGGCAGGGAGGCCAGGGTGCTGGGGGGGCCTGTTGCCCATGGCCAACAGGCTCTGAGTGCGGGTGGACGGGGGGCCAAGCCTGGCTCCGCGCATTTACATGACTAAGCAAGTTCCTTAGTCCTCCAGGCCTCGGTTTCCTCATCCATAACAGGGTGGCGCTGGGTGGAGCGTCCCCCACACATGGTGAGGTGGCCGGGTTAGCAACAGAGCACCACCCCCAGGGACTCGAGAGCTCATGGTCTATGGGGCTGCTTCAGGGAAGATCGACCTAGGGTGAGGGGCTCTTGAGGGCCCCCTCCGCTGGTGCGGGCGCACCTTGGAATACTCCTCATCCAGGTGCTTGTTCCTGTCCTCCAGGATGTAGTTGGGGTACCCAATCTGCTCCCGGATGCTCATGGCCTGAGGAATAGAAGGATGGCTGGTCCGTGCCCACCCCACCGTGGGAATGCTGGCTCTGCCCCCTTCCCCCCCAACCATGTGGGTAAGGGGCTAAGGGACTCGGCCCCTCCTTGCAGGCTGTGAGGACAGGATGTGGAAGGGCTTGGCCCGGGGCCGACCTTCAGACCTGACAGCCAGTCAGGGGTCTGGTGGGGTGAGGACTGGGTGGAGTTGCTCAGCTGCCATTTGTCACACTGGCTCAGCGGGGCCTCTGCTGGGTCCTGGCACCCTGCTCCCCGAGGCCATGGCCACCCCACCTATTCCCAGGGCTGCTGGGGGGTCTCCCAGGCTTGGCTTCCAGTCCCACCTCCGCCCACAGCCCTTTCCTGAATGAGCCCCCCCCCCCCCCCCGCCTCGTCCTCGTCTCTAATGTGGGTGTGAAGATTGACAGTCACCCCATGCCCCCACCCTGGGACCGCCCTCTCCGGGTAGGAGGCCCTGACTGTGGCACTCCAGCCGTCCACCCACCTTCTCCCGGGCCTTCTTCTTGGACGCCTCATCCATCCAGCCCAGCTCCTCCAGGGTCTCCACGAAGACGGCCCGCACCTTGTTGATGAGCTCTCTGACCTGGGAGAGTGCGTGGCCCTCGTGCCTGGGGGACCAGCCCTGGGGATCTCTGCAGGGGTCTGGACAAAGCACTGCCCTGGCTGTGTACCTCTCTTGGTGTGGTGTGGGGAATGACCTTCTGGGACAGGGTCCCCACTGCTGCCTGCCCGCCCCTGACTCAAACTTGTACAACGCACACCTTTCTCAGGTGGGCCTGCAGGGTCGGGAGTGGGGGCCAGAGGCCTGGGGCAGCTCCCCACATCTGATGGGGCACTGGAGCAAACGTGCGTCCCCTTGCCTGTATCACTGAGCATGCACAGAGGCTGCTGGGGGATGAGCGGGGACCCCTAGCTGGGAGTCCAGAGTCACAGTGTGGGGTGGTGACCATGTGACCTGCCCCCCCATCGGCTTTCCTGTGGGGAGGTTGCACCTGGCCTGGGGGGATGGGCCACAGACAAGGTTGCCTGACCACATCAGAGCACAGAGCACCCACCACGTTCTTGCTGTCTCCAGGGAAGGCCTTCTTGACGTAGAGGGAGCCCACGGCGCTCTCCATGTTGCTGTTGACATAGCTGACACACTCCCGCCAGCGCACCTCCTCCACCGTCGTGCCGTACAGCGCCTGGTGCGGCCATTCCTTCCTTCAGTCATTGTACTGCATTTACCAACATTTACTTCCCGCTGGGCCCTCATGGGGCCCTGGGTTAATGAGGGGAGCAGATACACCTGGTCCTCGGCCTCGGTGTGCCTGGAGGCCGGTGGGGGACACGAGGTGGACTCAGACTTGCCTTTGAATGCTGGCTGTGGTGTGGGAGGCCGGAGCATGCAGTTTTGAAGGGAGTTGGGTCTTTACCCTGGGCTGGTGGTAGACGCTTTACTTGGCCCCTGGTTATTCCCTGTCCCCTGCCCTCACCACCTTGGCTTGGCTGTCTGGCCAGATTCTGCCCTCAAGGACTCCAGCCCCACCCCCAAAGCACAGGCTGGTGTTGACCAGGAGCAGGCCCTGGGGGCCACGTCGAGCTTGGCCACCAGTCACCAGCTCTCTGGGCCCTGGTTCCCTACTTACAAAGGGGCGATAACAATGTCTGCTGGTCTGTGCTTAGGGATGCAGGGGCAGAAGATGGAAATATGTCCCAATCAGATTCCTGGCCGGAATCTTGGCCGGGCCAGAGCTCTGCCCAGTGTCCAGCCACACCTTCCTGGGCTGTGGGCTTCCTGCCCCTTAGTAAGTCAGCGTGACTCGTTCCCTCTCCTCAGAGCCCCGAGACTCAGCTCCCTCCCGATGCTTGGCTAATAGTGTCTTCAACCCAACCTGCCAAAGCTCTGACCTGCCCTGGCCCGCTCTGCCCTGGTCTCCCTGTCCCAGAGGCGGCCTCCACCCATCCCATTCCTCTGGTGAGGACCTTGGAGACCCCCTGACTTCCGGTCTCTCATCTTCATAGCTGTAGTTGTCCCTCGACTGTCGTCAGCACCTCCATCTACTGCCAACGCCCTGTTCTGACCCCCCACCTGGAGGATGGCACCTGCCTCCACTCTGAGCCCCAACCCAGAACACTGATAATGACAATATTCTGGTCATTGCCCCAGAATAGCCACCAGGACCACAGGGCCTGCCGGTGGGTCTCCTGCCTTCAATCCGACAGTGCCACCCCAGCAGGCAGAATGACCACGCAAGCAGGACATCAGACCGGTTTCCACTCTTAATTCCCAGTGGCTTTCAGCGCATATGGAATCCATGCACTGCTCTGGCCCACGATTGCTGGCCCCTGACCTCATCTCCTTCCTTTCCCTCTGTGGCCTGGGGGGTTCCTGTCTCGGGACCTCTGCACTCGCTGATTCTGCTCTCTGGGAATCTGCCCATGTCTGGGTCATTCTTGCTTTAAGGTCTCAGAGTCCCCTCCACGGAGAGGCTCTCCCTGCCCTCGTTACTGCCCTCATGTCCTACTTGTTGGTTCTGAAAGAGCAGGTCTCCAGTTTGTTGACTGCTTATTGTCCAACGGCCTCAGGCGCTCAATATCGTAAATAGAATGAACAAACGAGGGGCCAGGCCTGGGGCAGGGGCAGACGCCGCCTCTGGGGGTCTCGCTTACCTTGCGGTAGTTTGCACGTGCGTCCTTGAATCGCTGGCTCAGGCTGCTAATGCGATCCAGCACTAGGCGCCAGACCAGGTAGTTCTGCAGGGTCCTGTGGCAGGACGCAGAGGGCAGGGGACAGGACGGAGGAGTGGGGTTTGGATATGGCTTGTGGGCTCATGGCCAGCAGGTTCCACCCAGAGCAAGGGGCTCAGGGCAGTGGAGAAAACCTCCAAGACAGCCTCCCAGATACTGCCTCTGCCCCGGCTGCTTGAAATGCCCAAGGAGGGGTTCACATCTCTAATGTAAGGCTCCATTGGCCACTAAAATTTAACCCCCTCGTGCCCCTCACGCCGCAGGGTAAATGCTCTATGGGATCCTCTCCTGAGAGGTGGAGCTGATGGGGATGGGGAGAGACCAGGGGCAAAGACACTGGGGCCTCTTGAGACCTTCCCTGGCCTCACCTGGCTGAATAGATGTCGATGATGCCTTCAAGGTTATGGAGGTACGGGATGCCGTAGACCACCACTTCTTCTTTTGGCAGCAGCTTGATTTTGACAGAGGATAGCACAGATTGTATGAAGAGAGTCCAGTTAAATCCCTGGGGAAAGAGGGTGTGGAGAGAAAGAAGTAGAGAGAGAGAGACGTAGACACAGTTCCTGGGTGTCCAGGAACCCAGCCCCCATCAAAGATGTTCAAGAAATAAGAGAGGAGGTGCAGATAATCAGAGTCAGGAAAAAGGTGACTGACATTACTACAGAGCCTACAGACTGAGAAGATAAGAGTTATGGCAATATATCTGAAAACCAAAGTGTAATGGGAAAACTCCTGGAAAAACAGAACTTAGCAAAAATGAAATAAGAAGAAATGAAAAAATAAATAGAAAATAGAAATACTTTTATAAGCAATAAACTGGATCTTTAAAATATTCTCACATACAAATTTCCAGACCCATCTGGCTTTCCCAGTGGCTACTATCTGACATTTAAGGACTACCAATCTTACTTAAACTTTCTAGAGAAGAGAAAAAGCAAAACTCCTTTTCAACTTGATTTATGAGGCTAAGAATAACCTTAATACCAAAATAAGGATATTACAAGAAGAGAAAATAATAGACCAATCTCAATTATGATCATTGATACAAAAATTCTAAGCAAAATTTTACCAAATAGAATTCATCCACACCTATATAAAATGGATAATACATTACAGCCAAATTAGATTTATTAAAGGAATTCAAGTTTGGTGTCACATTTGAAAATCAAGTCAATATAATTCACTATAACTGAATAAAGGAGAAAAATCATATGATAATTTCAATAGATGCAGACAGACATTTAATAAAATTTGCTACCTATTCATGATAAAAACTCTTAGCAGACTAGAAATAGAAGATAAATTCCAAAATCTGATAAAGGGAATCTACAAAACATCTACAAAACACTCTACAGCAAACATGAAATTTTTTTTCTGAAAACAACTTTTAGGCTGAATCAGATTTTCTTTTTTAATTAAAGATTGGCCCTGAGCGAACATCTGTTGCTGATCTCTTTTGTTCCTCCTTGTCCCCCAAACCTCCCAGTGCATAGCTGTATATCGTAGTTGGATATCAGGCTCATCAGGCCTCAGCATGGCCTGATGAGCGGTGCCATGTCTGTGCCAGGATCCGAACCAACGAAACCCCGGGCTGCCAAAGTGGAGAGTGCAAACTTAACCACTCGGCCACGGGGCTGGCTCGCAAACACTTAATGGTGAAATGTTGGAAGCTTTTCTTCTGAGATCAGGAAGGAAACAGGACGTCTACTGTCATGACTTCAGCATTAGGCTGAACGTCTGAGCCAGGTCAATGAGGCAAAAAAAAACCCCAAATAAAATCAGTAAGTGTTGAAAGGGAAGGACATGATTCTGTGTGCGTGAAATCTGAAAGGATCTACAGATAAAGCGTCAGCACTAATCCGTGCATTGAGTAAAGACGTTGTATACAAGGTCACACTTTTGTGTGCTAGCAACAAGCAATAAGATAAACTACAAAATGACACTATTTACAGTAATATAAAAAAACAAACACCTAGGAATAAATCCAGTGAAAAAAATGTAAGGCTTTGAAATAGAAAACTATAAAATTTATTGAGGGAAATGAAAGCAAGCATAAATATACGCAAGTGTCTATCAGGGTCATGGATTGGGAGACTCAACATTATGAAGATGTTGATCTTCCCCAGACTGATGCTTAGATTGAAAGAATCCCCGTCAAAATCTCAGTAGGTTTTTTTGTGTGGAATTGGCTAGGTACTGCTATGTTTTATAAGAAAATGTAAAAGGCCTAGCGTAATCAAGAGATTCTTAAAGAACAAAGTTGTTAGGCTTTCTCTCGGATGTCAAGACTGGTTGTGAAGCTATAGCGGCGGGCATGGTGGGTGGCTGGCACACGGACAGACAGACCAATGGATCAGAAGAGAGTTCAGAAACACACACACGTGCACATACGTGTGGACCTAAACACGCACACATGAACACAGGCACACACAGACACACATACAGACACTCACACAGAAGCTTGATTTAACACAGGTGGCCGTGGCTCAGGGAGAGTCTTTCCAATAAATGGTGCTGGGTCATCCGGACACCCATAAGGAAGAAATGAAACTTGCTTCACTGCACTCCATATGAAAAATCAACTCAAGGTAGATTGCAGACCCAGCCGACCTTGGGGGTAGGCGAAGATTTCTTAAGCAGGACACAAAGAACACCAGCCATAAAGTAAAGACTGACCCATCTTTGATAGGTTGATAAATTGGACTACTTTAAAACCTCCTTTGAAAATAAAAAGAGCTATTATCAGAGTGACAAAGCAAGCTTCCGGTGTAGAGGACATTTGCTCCACATCAACTGACCAAGGGGTGAAGCCGACGTGTACAGAATGCTAAAAAGCAATGAGAAGGCAGACACCCCAGCAGGGCAGACGGCAGGAGACTTGAGGGCCACCGGTGGCCAGTCAGCATGAAACCGTGCTCAGCTTTCCCGGCCGTCAGGGAGAGTCAAATTCAGCCCAGGTGAAATCCCACAGCACATACACCAGAATGGCAAGGAGGAAAGGAAGGGACACTCCAAGCACCGGCCAGCAGGGTCCGCACACCACTGTCAGGGAGCGTAAATCTGTACACAGACCTGGGGGAGAGGTCTGGCATTGTCTACTCAAGTTGAATGTACGCCTGTCCTGTGACCTGGCCCTCTCATTCCAGGGGCGAACCTAACAAAAATGCACACACGTGCGTGTCAAGGGAGTGCACAAGAATGAGCACAGCTACATTCTTCGGGAAAGTCCAGAACTGGAACTGACCGAGAGGTCCAACAAGAGCAGGATGGGGCATTAACTGTTGGGAGTTGTCAGAACTGGTTACACGGCAAGCGGGACAAGTAGAAGGGGGCTCCGTGCCGAGGCAAGACGGGACGCAGCCTCACCCACACAAGGAGAACCTAGGAAGCCCCATGTGAGCGAGCACGGCACGTGGTGGGAGAAGCTGGTGGTGGCTGCTTTGGGGAGGCGGGCGGGGGAAGGGGCGTGAGGTGGGTGTCAGAAGTGGCTTAATGAGGCCAGACCCGTGGCTTAGTGGTTAAGTTCCCGTGCTCTGCTTCAGTGGCCCAGGGTTTCGCTGTTTCGGATCCTAAGTGAGGACGTGGCACCGCTCATCAGGTCATGCTGAGCGGGCGTCCCACATGCCAGAACTAGAAGGACCCACAACTAAAATATACAACTAGGTACTAGGGGGCTTTGGGGAGAAGGAGGAGGAGGAGGAGATTGGCAATAGATGTTAGGTCAGGTGCCAATTTGAAAAAAAAAAAAGAAGTGGCTGAAGTCCTGATCTGAGGAGGGGCTCTGTGGACGTGCTCACTTTGTGCCAGTTCTAAGCGTTTATAGGGCATTATAAACCAAACACCCCAAACCCTGGGTTCTCAGCCCCACCCCCCCAACCTGCTCCCGTGCCCACCCCACGGCAACTTCAGGCCACGTGAGTCCTCCTTCTCTCGCTTCCCTTATTTGGTCCGTTTGCAGATCTGTGGGTTCTAGCCTCCAGATAAACCTGGAAGGCACCCCTCTCACCACTTCCGTCACCACTCATCCCAGGGCCACCATCCCTGCCCGGGGGGCACTGCAGCCTCCGATGAGTCTCCCTGCTTCTTGCCCCTGTCCCCTTCAGCTTGTCTCCTCGGGGGCCAGATCCTCGTGGATGAGAGTCAAGTCTTGTCCCTTCTGTGGCCCAAACCATCTCACGCAACATCAACGCCAGTGCCCTGACGGTCCGACGCTGTCCGCCCTTCACCTGCCCGGCTTCTTCTTGCCTCCGGCCGCCTGCAGGCCCTGCCTTGGGACCTTGGCACTCGCCTTCCTGTCCCTGCTGCACTGGAGCACAGCTCCAGGCGGGGTTTGCCTGCTTGGTTCGCTGGGCGACCGTTGGGCTGCTCTGGGGACGGGGTGTCCCAGCAGGGCCCTGTGGGGACCAGCGACAAGGGAGCAGGATCCTGGGGCCACGGAGGCTTCTGGACACCAGGTGCTGTGAGCCCCTGGCAGGGTCCTCCTCCCTCTGACTTTGGGTCCTGTCCCCTCACCCCTGTCCTCATCCCTCTGACTTTGGGTCTGTCCTCACCCCGTCCTCCTCCTTCTGACTTTGAGTCTATCCTCACCCCATCCTCCTCCCTGTGACCTTGGGTCCTGTCCCCTCACCCCTGTCTTCCTCCCTCAAACTTTGGTCCTGTCGCCACCCCGTCCTCATCCCTCTGACTTTGGGTCCTGTCCCCACCCCTGTCCTCTTCCCTCTGACTTTGGGTCTGTCCCCACCCTCGCCCTCCTCCCTCTGACTGGGCCCTCAGCTGGCCATGGCTAGAACTTCATTTCTGCCCCTCCTTCTGCAGGAGGAGGCCCCTTGAGGCTGGCCACTCAGGTCAGTCAGGGCCCTGAGTGAGTTTGGGGGGGCTCCCCCTCCCCTCGCTGGGCTGCTCCTGCCCAGCCCCCAGCCCCTAAGCATGAGGCCTGGCCCCTGGGGAGGGGAGGGCGCCTGGGTCTGTGGCAGGCAGAGCCATGGAGCAGAGCCAGGCCGGGGTTCTGAGCAGGACTTGGGGACAGAGGGCCCTGGGTTGGGGTCTCCCTAACTCGGGCGAGTCAGCAGCCCCTCCCAGCCTGTTTCCTTCTTGGAAAAGTGGGGTCATTGCAGCAGCCACCTCACAGATAGGGTGTCCTTGTGTCCCTAGACAACCCAGTTGACACCTGCTGTCCTGATGTGAAAGTGTCCAGGTTTGGGTGACCAGTTACATGGCCCCCTGCTCAGGGATGGGCGTATTTTTAAGGCTTAAACGAGAGAGGCGGGGTGGTGAGGGTGGCCGGGGCTCACCTTCAGGCCAAACTTGTTCTGGAGCTCCTCCAGGTCCATCCTGTGGTACAGGGCTGTGACGTCGTGCCTCTCCTCCTGGGGGGCTGTGGCCTGCACCCGGTGCCAGGCAGTCACGTGGGAGACAGGGGTGGCCAGGGCCCAGGTACCACCCCCCTACCATGGGACACAGTCTCACGTTCGCCAGCTGCGTCTCCAGCTCCAGCACCTGCACCATGTCCTGCCACACCAGGTGGCTGTCCTTGGGCAGCTTCATGTCTGCCCGCAGCATCGTGGCCACCGACACCATGAACTGTAGGTAGGCTTCCCGCACCTGGGCCAAAGGACGTGGGACGGAGTCTGGAGGCCTCGGCCACCTTGGCCCCCATGGAGCTCTGTGGGATTGGGGGTGGGCATATGACATAAACAGGCCCCAGGAAGCTCACTGGGATGGGGGCGTTCCAGACTGCCCGCGCCCTCCCAGGCCGGAGCCCTCTGCTGTCGCTCACAGTCCCGGACAAGCCTGCCAGAGGGGCTGCCAGCAACGCGGGTGGACTGTGCTCCCCCCCCCAAGACCTGCGAGTTGGCCTGTAGCTTAGGCCGCCCCCAGATGGCTCGGGACTGGGTCCCCTACTCCATCCTTCTGCATATGACCCCGTGTCCCTGAGCTTCCACGACATTAGGAGACCCACTGTGCCAGGCTGCATGGCTGCATATAAAGTGCTGGGCACACAGTGGGTGGGCAGTAAAGGTCCAGGGCCATGGGGTGCCAGAATGAAGGGTGGGTTGCCCTAGCCAGGCTCCCCTCAGCCCGAGGGTCCGGAATTGGGTCCTGAGGATGTCTGCCCTTCTGGACCTGCCTTCTTCACCCTTCATCCTGGGAGGAGCTTTCCTTGTTGCGGGAGGAGCCACAGAGGCCACCTCCTTGGGTTTCTCATTCCTTGGCATCAGGCTGGGCTGATGCCCCCAGGCCAGTCTCGCTGGCAGCTGCTGGGTCTGATCCAGGGCTGTTGGGCTTGAGGCCTCCAGGTGCCCCAGTCCCTGCTACTCTGAGGGAGGTTCCTCGATCTGGTTCTCTCAGCCCCTTGGCCCCACTCCACAGCTTCTTTTGGCCACACTGGTCTTTTCTCCTGGCTGGATCCATCCTTCACAGCCTAACTCAGAGCCTGCCTGCTCCAGGAGGCCCACCATATTGCTTCCCCATCATTTCTCACCTCCTGCCTTTTCACTTTGGCTCCCTGTCCTTCCTTCCCTGGCTCTTCCCTCCAAATCCCGCAGCCCGGGTCCTGCCTGCCTTGCCACTATTTGGTTCCTCGTCTCTCTCCTCGCTTGACGCAGGAGCAGAATGGCTAAGGGAGCAACCCAGGGCCGGGCGGCCTGCTTTCAGACCCCTCTGGGCCCCACCGGCCACGTGGACTGCAGTCCTGCGCCCATGGGCTGTGAATGGCAGGGTGTGCCCCCTGGGGCTGCCAGGCCGAGCCGCGCTTGTCCCTGAGCCTGGCATCGGGTGTTTAGGGACACTCCCTATGACAGCGGTAAAGGCGGAGGTGCCCGCCTGCGTCCCCAGCCCTCAGCGCTGGGCCTGTGCCCCGCAGGTGCTCACAGAGGCTGGACGTGGGGGCGTGGGCCAGGTGATGCGTGGAGAGCTGGGCCACAGGTGGGCCCTGAGGTGGCAGCAGGAGGGCACCCAGAGCAGAGGGGCAGGCTGAGAAGTCCAGGGGCGCTGGGGTCCAGCCCAACTCACCTTCCGGTTGTGGCCCTCATTGAAATAGTACTCCCGCGATGGCATGCCCAAGGTGGGCTGGTCTATCTGGAGACACAGAGGGTGTGAACCTGGGTGAAGAGTGGGGGTCCCCACAGCCTGGCTGAGGCGGGCAGCCCCCCCACCGACTGTGCCCAGCGGGAACACGGGCTCCACCTGGAGGGGGCGATGCTGGAGAGTGGGCAGGTGCCCAGCCCCACTCTGTGAGTGCTGGGCGAGAGCTGCCAGGCTGGGCCTCAGGTGGCTGAGCGGGTGCAGGCCACCCGTGGGACCTGGAAGCGCCCTCGCCCTCCCAGAGTGGTGTGGACATTCACCATGCGGCCTCTCTTTGGCCTGCTAGCTGTTGCCAGTGGTGGCTCTCAGAGGTCAGCCATCCTGCCCTGGTGCCAAAGGCCTGGACGGTCCTGAGAATCAGCTCAACACCTGGGCCAGCCCTTCTCATCAGGACCTCTCTCATCAGGACCCCGTTCGTGGAGGTGGGGCCCCCAAATCACAGACTTGGACGAGAGCAGGGCCCCAGGAGCACGCCGGGTCTCGCCTGCCCCCTCTGGCCACGGCCTTGCCATCTCCCCGCTGTGCTGTGAGAGCCCCCAGCCAGGCACGGGGACCCGGCCTACCCCGGCCCCCCAGCACGGCTCGTACGTAGATGATGTGGCGGCTGGAGTTCTGGTCGTCGTTCCAGATGAAGAGGTCGATGAGGACACGCCTGTTGAACTGCGTGTTCATCACGGCCAGCTGCTGCTCCAGCTCCCACCTGGGGCCTGGGGGTCAGTGCCCCATGCTGGAGACCGCTGGGCCCCGGGGTCCAGCCCAGCCCTCATCGGACGGTGAGTCCCGGCCTCTGAGCCCAGAGCTCAGGGGACGTGGGGAACCTCTGCCCAGCTCAGGGAGGTGAGCACACTTGTGGGCCTTGGAGGCTGGGGAACCCTGGGACGCGCATCCCCAAATAGTCCACTGGGGACAGCAGGGCCCTGAGAGCAGCGCTGTGTGCCCGAGGCTGCCAGCTTCTTGGTGCGCCCCGTGCATCTACCTGGGGTTGAGGTGGGGGCAGAGTGCAGAGAGCAGAGCACAAGCCCAGAGCCGGGAGCCCTCGGTCTGGGAAACCAGTCCTCCCTACGGCTCGGGAAGGGACCCCCTCTGCAGGACTGGAGGGGGCCAGCCACAGGGAGCCTGCCAACAGCAAATGCCCCAGCACCGGCCTGGATGGGTGCACCCTCAGCTGCCACCAGGCCCTAGCTTTCCTTACCGACGGTGTCGTTCCACTTGTCCATGGCCACTGGCCAGCCACCCACCACCTCTAAGATGTCCAGCAGGGGCTTAGAGCCTCGATCCTCTATGACACCTGAGAAGGGAAGGAGTGGTCACTCACCCAGACGCCTGGTGGGTGTGACACTGCCATCACACAGACCCGTGGGACACCGCGTGTCCAGTGCACAGCCCACCCCTCTCGTCAGACTCTGTAGCACAGGTCCCAGAAGGGCCCGGAAAGAGTGGAGACAGGACGCAAGCATGAAAGGGCCTGAGGATTGATGAAAGTGTGGGAGCCACCAGGACAGAGTGCGGGCGGGGGGACAGGCCTGGGAGCTGCAAGCAGGTGAGCATGGGGGGGTGAGTGAGCCACTGAGGGAGGCCCTGTGGCCACTAGCAGGAGAGGCTGAGAGCCACCCAGGGGTGCTCAGAAAGGGGCAGGAACTGGCGGCCCTGGGCGCTCTGGAAGGGGACGGTGGGGCACGAATTCAGGGCCAGACTAGGGGAGCTCTGGCATCATGGCCAAACATGCCGATGGAGTGTAAGACTGACTTCTCCCGGCAGCCATGATCAGGCAGGAAGCTTAGGAGAATTTCACTCAAAAACAAAGTGAAGGCGGGATGAAGGTGGGAATGCAGAGTCAAACGAGGGGAGCCGGCCCAGGGGGAACAGGGCCCTCAGGGCAGGCAGGGGCAGGGCGGGCAGTGGCAGGGAGGCCGGCCACCTCACTTGATCTGGCCAGACTCAAAGGCAGGCAGGGGAGGGGAGCTTCATGGTGGAGAAAAGGGGGCTCCAGGAGCGCCCCGAGGGGGCTGAGGGCCCAGGAAGCTGGGGGCACTGACAGGAAGTGGGCATCCTGCATGACTGGCCGGGGCACGCTTGGCTTTCTCTGGCTGGCCCTTGGTTGGAAGTGGGGAGAAAACTCAGGGAAGCTGCCAGCAGTGGATCACACACAGAGATACATGCACACACATGCACATGTGTACACACACACACGCACACATCCACACCACATACACTGACAGAGATTCTTTGCTTGACCCATGTTAGTCAGGCCCCTGCACCTTCTGCTGGGCCCATCTGTGCACTTCCTTGTAAAATCCAGTTTCAGCAAGAACCCTCCACCCTGGATATCTGAGCTGGTCCCCACCCCCTCCACCCCCAGGTGCCTTTCACCAAGACGCCTGTCGGGGGGCTCAGCCAGAATCCCACTCACCCCTGATGTTACGCTTAGTCATCTTCCATCCGCTGCCCCCAACCCTGCTCCTTGGCTACAAACCCCAACTTGCCCCTGCTGTATTCAGAGCTGAGTGCGAGCTTCCTCCCCCACTGCGGTGGTCCTCATGTCACAATGGTCCAGAAGGAAGTCTGCCTGACCGTCTTTAACAAGTGTCACAAATATTGTTTTTGTTTAACAATACACAATACACATATGCACATACATGCATACATGCACACACACACACACACACACAGCATTCCCTGGGACCCCCAGGCAGGCCCCTCACTGTCTTCCTCCTGCCTGAACAGAACGTGGCCTGTGCTGGGGTCAGGGTGTGCGTGGGGTCACAGGCAGCTGCAGCAGGTCCATGCCCCACGGGGAGCCTGGACCCGCTGGCCAGGTGGGGGGCAAAGCACACAATCCTCTGGCATGAGTCCACTGTGGTAGGCTGCAGGGGCTGTGGGGTCCTGGAGCTGAACGGGGTTCTGGTAGGGGCAGCCCCAGGGGCCAGCCCCCGCCTTGGCCCCTCCCCGCAGCCCCACCCGCACTCACTCTCGTTCATGCAGGAGCGGTACAGAATCTTGGCCTTCCGCACGGCCGGCCGGTCCTTGCCGTTGGAATTCTCCAGCACCGCTGTGGGCAGAGGAGAAAGCTAGACAGAGGCCTGAGGTGGCTGCTGGGGGCCAGGTCAAAGGTTCTCGTGCCTCACGCGCTCATTGGGAGGGGTCCCTCTGCCGTGCTGGGCCTTTATCCGGGGCGACTCCCTCTCCCCTGTGCCCACCGGACAGAGGAGAGCTCAGTAGGCCGTCCCTCAGCCCCCCACTGCCCGCCCACAAGAGCAGCAGATGCACAGCCTCCCCCTGCTCCAGCCCTCACGGTGGCGGCTGCTCCCACCTTTGAGGATGACCTCCAGCTCATCTCGAAGGATGTCGAAGACACTGTAGCGGGAGTTGGTCTCAGGGATCACGTGGCGCCGCAGCCAGCCTCCGCACGCGTACTCGTAGAAGTCGTCACACGGTTCCTTGGACGTGTCCATGTTCTGGATAATCCTGGCGGCTGCTCGTTCCCAGGGGTGGAGAGGAAGAGGGGAGACCCAGCTGTGGGCGGCCCCGTGGATAGTCGGATGTTCGGTGGCAGCTGTGTGCTCCTGGGAGCATCGGTCCCCCCTCTGAGCCTCAGGGAGGTCAGCAGTGAGGGGTTCAAGTTCTGGGTCTACCACTTATGAGCCACACGACCTCGAACTCCCCTGCCCTCTCTGATCCTCCATTTTCACATCTGCAAATCTGGGACGGCAGCAGTGGGACAAGAGGGCCGAGGTGATGGGCTGGGGCTGCCCGGCTCACAGGAGCGCTCAGCTGGTGGCCCTGCCCCCGTGAGCCCCCCGCCAGGGTCTTTCACCCCCACACTGCCCCTGGAGTCCCCTTACTTGTCAGTGTACTGGGGGGGCAGCACCCGGGACCCCCACCCAGGACCCTCCCTTGAATTCTGTTCTGCTTGACTGGAACCTCACAGGAGGCACGACCGTGGGCACCCATCCACGACCCCAACGTGGGCAGAAAAAATGCATTTCTGAGTTTTCTCGATTGTGTTTCTTCACATCGTTTTCACCACTTTTTCTCATCTGCAAATAGCAGATACGCCCCCAGTTTATAGGCAGGTTCCTGGGAGGGATCCTGAGAGAGGATGCGTGTACGCCAGCCCTTTCTGTGAATGCAGGAGACAGCCCCGGGGTCCCCGTGCTGTGCCCTCCAGGCCACAGGGGCCTCAGGGGCACAGGGGTGGCTTCCCAGGGGGGTGCGGGGGGTGAGAAATCAGAGCAGCACCCGCCTCCTCCCCCCACTGCCGAGTCCCCACCTGTGTGCAGGGCCCAGGTCAGCCCACAGGCCCATAGCCATGTCTCGGGGCTGCCCCCTTGGGCTCAGGCAGGCCTGTGCCAGCATCGCCGGGAGCCCCGGCCCCTGGGCCAGCTGTGTAGGTGGAGGGAAGGGGCTTACCTGCCATCACACAGCCAGGGGTGGTGCAGATTTCGTCCAAGTCCTTGGGCCCTTTGACGGCTGCGGGCAAGGAGCGGCGTGAGCGCGTGGAGAGGCCGGGTGGGTATAGGTGGGCAGGGTGGGGTGGGTGGCTGCAGGTTGGAGGATGGGGCACAGGAGGGGTGGGGGCACAGGGTGAGGCCGGGTGGGGTAAGTCTGCTGTGTGTGGGGGGTCAGGCTTCAAGGCCACCTCTAGCCCCTGTGGGTGGACCAGCCTTGGGCCCTGAGGGCAGGTCTGGAGGACAGCCCACATCTTCCCGGGTGGCCCAGGCCGGGGTCCTAAAGTGCGGTGAGCCTCATTCTGGCCCGACCCCTGCAGTGACCTGGGAGCCCCTTTATGCCCGCTGCCTCCACTGACCCCCACAGCTGCCCCAGGCCCCCAGGGGTGAAGCCGGCCATTCTGCCCTCCCGCCTGTCTGCCCAGCCAGCTCTCGCCCTGTCAGGGGCCAGCTCCTCAGGCAGCCTTCCTGTGCTGCCCCTCTCAGCACACCCCTGCCCCCAGCACCGGCTGGTTGTGGAAATGTGCACCTGCCTGGCCTCGGGGGCAGTGCCCAGAGCCTGCGGTGCCACGGAACTTGTGCGGGTTCCCGCCCCCAGGGAGCATCCTGCATCCAGCGGGTGCTCATGACTGTGTCCCTGCCACCGTCTTCTCTTCCCTGGGGACTCTGGCTGCCCCAGGCAGGGCCCCGCCCTCCTGCCACACACCCTGGCCTGCTGTGGAACCCGGCCCAGCCGCGGGCTCCCTGCCCTGCCACAGAGGGCCGGACCGCCCGGGGTGTTTACAGGGGAGGCAGGGCTACCTCGGGGCTTTCGTTCTATAATGCTCTTCTCTTCCTTTGAGAAGCGAAGCCAGCCGGTAGAGAGCGGCAGCTGCTTCCCTGGGGAGAAACACAGCATTCAGCTCTCGGGCCTCCAGCCGCTGCTCCTCCAGGCACCTTGGGACCTCCTTGGGACGGCACTGGCATTCTCCTGCAGGGCTGGGTGCTCCAGGCGCTCGCTGCATGGGGAGGCCCCTCCCCATCTAGCGGGGGCTGGTCACCAGGGAACCAAGACGACACAGGGCCGCAGCACAGCTCATCTCTGAGGGCGGGGAGGGCCTCCTTGCCCCAACCCCCAGCCCCCACCATCTGCTGGGCCCAGTGGGTTCCTGAGGCAGGACCGCCTGTCCCCTAAACAAGTCCCCTCTGATGTCCTCTTCTACCTTGGGGTCATGGGCACCCCATGCAAGATGGGTGGCTCCTGGCGCCCTGCCAGCAGGAACAATAGGCTCCTTTGGGGAAAGGATGTCTTGTGGAGGGGTCATTTCCTGACCCACTGGCCACCCACAGCTCCAGCCCTTCCACCTGCACTTTCTGCTGAAGCTGCAGAGCCACCCTGCCTCCATCCTTGCACCGCATGGGGCAGGGGCCGGGCACTGCGTGGTCAGCATCGGGAGCTTCCGTGGCAGGCTGTCAGCTCTGCCTGGAGAGGGGCTTGGGGGGCAAAAGGGCAAGGTGGAGGGAAGGGGGAGGCGAAGGTCCAGGGAGAGGGCACGCCAGGCCTGGCCACCTTCAGACCTGGCTTATGGGTGAATTTCCCCACCCGAGAGGCACACGGAGGGAACAGGGGCTCGTCCAGGCCAGGGCTGGGGGCAGGGCTGGGACCTGGTTCAGCCCTGGCTGCAAAGACTGCAGAGACTGTGGGGAGCCCTGAAAATGTTGGGTGTTGCCTGGGGTCCTGGCCATTCAAGGGAACATTTATGAAACGTGATCTGGGGTGCGTGGGGAGAGGTGTTTCTCTTCCACCTGCTGATTGCTGCTCTTCCCATCTGCCACTCGTTTGTCCATTGATCCAATATTTGTTGATTATTACGAGCCAGCCTGGTGGTGGGCACTGAAGGTTCAGATAAGGGTCTGACACGGGCCCCACCCTCACAGAGCCCCATGCAGTGGAGACAGAAGGAAATTGCTGCAGGATACATATATTAACACAAACTGTTTAAAGGGAAATCTGAGCTTCAGAGAAGAGAAGGACAGTGCCGCAGATCAGAAACAGAAACGAAGTGATAAGTGGTGCTGTCATGGCTGCCCCATGGGGGCTTGCCAATCTCAGGAACCCAGAGCCTCGGGAAAAGGAGCTAGACCCTGGACCTCAAAGGGCAGCACCCTCAGTGAAAGAGTGGACTGGAAGGACCTCTGACCTCTGGCCCAAGAGAGGACCAGGCGGAGAAGGGATTTCTGTTTCCGATTAGGATGCAGAAAGTCTAAACAAGACTGTGGCTCCCACCCTAACAAGCTGTGGAAGTGACAACACGAGAGCTTTTAGAAGCCCACCACAAAGCTGAGGGCACAGAGCCCTCGTGAGCCGGAGCCCAGAAACGGGTGAGCCCTTCCCAGGAGAGGAGGGACCTATGGCTGCTGTCACCTCTGGCTTCCACCAGACAGGAGGAGGGCAGACTCCTCTGGAAGGAGAGCTGAAGCTGGAGGAAGTTTTAACAAGCCTTTCACACCCGCATGTGGGCAGGCGTGAGGGACTGGGGTTGCCAGGAGCCCCCAGCAGAGGGTGCATCTGCACCCACCCGCAGTCCTTTATCACGGGGCCTGCCCTGAGTGCACACTGGGGGTGCCTGAAGGCAGGTGCAGGGCAGGGGAGCTGCGTGAAATCCTCCCACATGGAAAGCAGGCAATCTGGGCCACATAAGTTATAGGGTCTTACACAAAAGATGGAAAACGTATGTAGATATACGGTAAATCTTACCAGATCAATGGAAATGATAGAAAAGAACTGAATGGAAATGCAACTCAAGAAGTGAAGAATTTGTTTTATAAGTTTAACAGCACAGTGAATACAGCAAAAGAAAGAATTAGTGTCATATATACGTCCATATAAATGATCCCATTTGAGGCACAAAGGAAAAGGAATGAAAAAACTGAACAGAGGAAAACATCTACAAAAAGCCCAGAGCTAACATTGTAGTTACTGGTGAGAGACTGGATGATGTCCCCTGAGATGAGGAAGAAAGCAAGGCTGTCGTCTCTCACCACTCCTGGTCAACATCGTCCTAAGGGTCCTGCTGGTTCAGTAAGATGAGAAAAGGAAAAAAAGGTATACAGCTAGGAAAGGAAGTAATGGGACTCTCTGTTTGCAGATGATGTGGTCTTCTACGCAGAAAATCCCAAAGAACCAAGCAAAAAACTCCCGAACTATTAAGAGGCTATACCAGGTCACAGGATCCAGCTTAATATATGAAAGTCAAATGCTTTCCTATATATTGGCAATGAATAATTAATTGGAATTTGAAATTATAGCAACAATCCATTTATAATAGCACTTAAAAATGAAAAATTTAGGTATAAATCTAATAAAATATGTGTGGGCTCTATATGCGGAAAATGACAAAACTGATGAAAACAAATCAAATATCTAAATAGATGGAGAGATAGTCTGTGTTGGTGGATTGGGAGACAATCTTATTAAAATGTCAGGTCTTCCCAACTTTATCTATAGATTCCAAATAATCCCAAAGTCCCAGCAAGCTACTCTGCTGATTTGACAAACTGATTCCAAAGTTTGTGTGGAAAGGATAAGATCTAGAATAGCCAACACAATGATGAAGAAGGATGAGGTTGGGGGCTGGCCCAGTGGCAGAGTGGTTACAATTGCATGCTCTACTTCAGTGGCCTGGGGTTCGCAGGTTTGGATCCTGGGCGTGGACCTAGCGCCGCTCATCAAGCCATGCTGCGGAGGCATCCCACATAAAATAGAGGAAGACTGGCACAGATGTTAGCTCAGGGTCAATCTTCCTCAAGCAAAAAGAGGAAGCTTGGCAACAGATGTTAGCTCAGGGTCAATCTTCCTTACCAAAAAAAAAAAAAAGAAGAAGAAGAAGAATGAAGTTGGAGGACTCACAGTGCTTGGTTTCGATACTCACTAGAAGGCTGCGAGTAATCAAGACAGCACAGTACTGGCAAAAGAAGAGACACGCAAATCAATGGGACAGATTAGAGAGCCCAGCAATAGAGCCACGCAAATATAGTCAACCGATCTTTGACAAAGGAGCAAAGGCAATTTGATGGAGAAGGATAGCCACTCAATAAATGTCCACAATGGAACAATTGGACATCCGTATACAAAAACAAACCAAAAAATTTAGATGCAGACCTTACACCTTACACAAAAATTAATGCAAAATGAACCACAGTCATAAATATAACATAAAAAGCTATAAAGCTTCTTGAAGAAAACATAGGAGAAATTCTGCATGACCTTGGGTTTGGTGATGACTTTTAGAATACAATGCAAATAGCATGATCCATGAGAGAAAAAAATCAATGTTAGACTTTATTAAAATTAAAAACCTCTGCTCTGTGAAAGACTTGTTAGTAAAAAGATGAGATACAAACTGAAATATATGCAAACATATATCTGATAAAACATTTGTATCCAAAATGTACAAAGAATCCTTAAAACTCAACAATAAGAAAAGAAACATCCTAATTAAAAAGTGGGCGAAAGATATAAAAAGACAACTCACTAAAGAAAATACCCAGTTGGAAAATAGGCATACAAAGAATGCTTAACATCCTTTTCAATAGGAAATTGTAAATTGCAAGAATGATGAGATACTGCTATACTCCTATTAGAATGGCTAAAATGCAAAAAACTGATGATATTAAGTGCTGGTGAGGGTGTAGACAATGGGAGTGCTCACTCATTGCTGGTGGGAAAGCAAAGTGGTCTGAGCCACCTTGGAAGACAGTTGGGCAGTTTCTTATAAAACCAAAGACAGTCTTACAATATGATCCAGCAATCCCACTCCTCAGTGTTTACCCAACTGATTTACGTCTACACAAAACTTACATCTACACAAAAACCTGAATGTAAATGTTTATAGCAGCCTTATTCATAATCTCAAAAAAGTGGCAGCAACCACAATGCCCTTCAATGGGATAATGAATAAATAAACTGTATTATATCTATACAATGGAATTATTATTCAGCAATAAAAAGAAATAAACTGTCAAGCCAGAAAAAGACATGGATGCATCTAAGGTGTATATTACTAAGTGAAAGAAGTCAGTCTGAAAAAGCTACATACAGTATGATACCAATCATACTGTGACATTCTGGAAAAACAAAACTACAGAGGTAGTAAACAACGATTGCCGGGAGCGTGGCACGGGTGTGGAGTGGGGGTGGTGGATGTAGGATAGGTGACGCACAAGGGATATTTTAGGACAGGGAAACTCTTCTGCATAATACTGTAATGGTGAGCACAATATATTAAACAGTTGTCAAAACCCACAGAACTTCACAGCACAAAGAGTAAACCCTGATGTATGCAAATTAAAAAAAACATTTAGGACATTAGGGGGTCCCAGGATGAAATGCAGCCTGAGAAGCTAAATGCATCACAAGTGTATGTAATAACCTCACTGAAAGAGGTAGGGGTTGAAGGGGCTGACCTCAGTCACTTTGGAAATAAGCAGAGTCTGCAAGACTAAAGGCAAAAGGATCGGTACATAGTGCTGTACTCTAGTTGATAAAGTTGTTCCCCAAGAGAACGCAGCTGAGCAATTCTGAAACCGCTATGTCTGCATATTGGAATTGACTAAGGAAGAAAATGGGTAGCAAATGGCAGGCTTCCCACTGTTGCACCGGAAGGTTACAGACGAGCAAGGGGAGGAGGCTAGAGTGATCCACGTGGTGATGCCTTAGAGTTGGAGACATCAGCATAAACTCATCTTCAGCTTCATATAGATACAGGTTGTTACATACACAGATATTTATAGATAATGTGTATACACATGAGTTAGCACACACACACACGTCTCCTCGCCCTTCAGCAGAGTGACTGGAAGAAACAACAATTCAGTAGCAATGAATATACCTAGCAGCC